GAACCTATCATTGTCGAGGAATTCGCGCAGACCCGTAACCTTGAAGGTCGACGAATGAATCAGTCCGATGTAATTTTTTGCTCTGTCACAGTCTCTTGGCGCGGGGTTTAGAGCCTAGAAAGCTTGTCAGGACTCGAGAGAATTGGAGTGAGTCCTAATGTCTCAGAAGGATTCCCTCCATTGCTCTCCGCGGTTCGTACAACAACTGGGTTCGCTGGAACGGCATGACGGTCTGATGTCCGGACACCGCGTACGGCATGTCGTTTCACCTACCCAGTCGGATTACCATTTTTTCGGTCCTTTTCATTCACTTGCTCAATTCCAACATCGGGTTGCACGCGACCCAGCTGCGCCACCCTCCATGGTTGCCGATTACTACGGGGTGTAATGAGATGGGGCTTCGTTTGGTACCCTGGCCACGCCTCTTGCGGTATAATAGGTGGCAGGTTAACCTAAGGACTAAGTGCTTTTGCGAGAAAGTGCCGGGTTAAGCGGGGAATCTTGTCCATCCATTCACTATATGATGATATAGTGGGTGCGTCCAGGTAGGTAGTCTTACGACTTTACCATATATTACCGGAGCTCCCATCGTATCTGATAACGTCGATTGTAGTGGCCGATTGGGTAACGCCAGGTTTATAGATTTACATAGAAAATCATATATTCCGTTTAATTTTTACCCAATCTGTATAGGGCACTACATTACTGATGTACTAAAATAATAAAAACTAAGCGATCTGGATACACATACGAGTATAATTAAAAATACTAATTTATTTTAATTTTATTTCAGATAGAGAGACAGAAATTGAGTTGCCAGTAGAAGCAGGTCCTAGTAGAGGCATAAGAGAGACACCCGTTGCATTGCCTAAAGAGATGAGGTCAATATATCGAGGAATTGGTAATATTTTAAGACAGTCATCTTCAACACGACAAAAAAAAAATGAAAACTATTTAGAGCGAGGATATCTCTATTAGAAGTCTGAAGAAACTGGCTAAATCTAGAGCTCATAGCATTAAACAGATGTCCAGACTGAATGATTCAGATGTGGTAAGAGTATATTATTCAGATTGCCATCCACAACAACCAACTTTTTAATTTCCCAAATCCGATGTTCAAAAAGGCTCCTAAAGGAAAAAGATGGTCAGAGGACGAAAAAGTTCTGGCATTGGCTCTGTTGAAGATAGGTTCGAAATGTTATATTTTATTGAGAAAAATTGTCAGTATGCTATAAAAAAACACTGTTGAATCCTCTTCAACAGGTGACATTTGAAAGTAGAATCAATGAACACATAGTTCTCCACCACATTGACATGATGATTATCGAGTATGTACCATTTTGATGGATGAAATGAATATCAAAGAACATATCAAATATGATTCATATGCAGACAGAATACGAGGGTTTGAAGAAATCACTGGTGAATCCTTCAATGGAATACTAATAAAGCACAAGTATTCATGTCAAAGGTCAAAGGACTGCAACGTAACTGAAAACAACCAGTCGCATATTATTTTTCGGATAAAGCAGTTTTTGGAACCAAACTCGCAAACATTATTATTGAAGTCATTGAAGCATGTCAGACCATCGCAAATGTTTAAATTTAAGATATTTAAACCGCCATGTCAAATAGAACATTTGACAGCCACAAGAAATAGCCGAAAGCTGAAACGTCATAAATCTTTATTGCATAAATACTATAAAAACCAACGCCTAAAAGTTAATAAAGTACAAATAAATAATTATAATATATAATAAAACACACATAAATAATAATAAATAATAATAGTTAGATAATCCCTAAACAATCAAGCTCTCTTAAAGGCTAAACGAAAGACTTTAACGCGATTCGGCGCGAGAATAACGCCAGTGTGTTTCTAACACTCAAGCAGTAAACAAGTGCGTCTCTAAAACAATAAGACAGGATCTGCGTCTCTCGTTCACGCGAAAAGTAGTGCCTCCGCAATCAACACCACCCATTGAACGTACTCGAACCCGACACTCTTTCTGTAAGAAATAACAATAATTTCAAGTGATTCTCGGCCCGCGAAAGTAAGAAACACTTACGTGAATTCTCTAATCTTTTGTGAGTGGTGAGTGGTGCCAATACGCCGGTAGAACTATTGTAAAAGTTGAATCCGTTGTTTACGTGCTATTTGTGTAAGCAGGAAGTTTAACTACAGGTGCCGGGCTTGCAACAGGTGCCCTTCCGCCTTTTTTTATTTTGATTGGATTGTGAAATCAATGATATAAATCACTTGTAATCAATATCAGCATTTTTTGGCAGTGTCGCCACTTGTCAACAATTAAAATACCTACTGACCCAGTTGATAACTAATACGACGTCTGATAAAAAAATAACCGTTATTTTCAAATTTCGTGAGTTACGTATTTTCGATTTTCGCATTTTTTTCTGTTATGTTGGTACACATATCTGTTATATATGTTGGCAATATCAGCCATTTTGGATTGTCAGTTTGTTTTTGACATAAAAAGGTTGGTCGTGTTTTGGTGTGCTCTTCGATTTTTTACTATTCGAAAAAATGGATAAAAGAAACTGTATTAAGCTTTGTATAAAAAATGAAATTAAATGCGCAAGGACATTTGAAATGTTGACTGTGGCGTTTTGCGAGTCTACTATGAGCAGAACACAAGTTCAATTGTGGTATAACCGGTTTAAGGAAGGCCGAGAAGATGTCAATGACGATGCTCGTCCTGGTCGCCCGAGCACGTCAACAACCGATGAAAACATTGAAGCAGTGAAGAAAATGATTTTGGATAATCGTCGAATCACTATCAGAGAGGTTGCTGATGATGTTGGCATATCGTTTGGCTGATGCCAAGCAATTTTTACGGATGTTTTAGGCATGAAACGTGCGGCAGCGAAGATTGTTCCAAAATTGCTAAATTTTGAGCAAAAACAACGTCGCATGGACATCGCTCAGGAGCTGTTGAGCATCGTCAATGACGATCTAGATTTCCTCAAAAAGGTCATAACTGGTGACGAATCATGGGTGTATGGCTATGGCATTGAAACCAAAGCCCAATCATCCCAATGGAAGCGTCCAGAAGAGCCAAGACCGAAAAAAGCACGTCAAGTTCGGTCAAATGTGAAGGTTTTGTTCACTGTTTTCTTCGACTGCAATAGCGTGGTGCATCATAAATTGCCACAAGGTCGTACGGCCAATAAAGAATACTACCTTGAAGTTATGCGCCGTTTGCGCGAAGCAATTCGTCAGAAACGCACAGAATTGTGGAAAAAACAATCATGGATTTTGCACCATGATAACAAAACCGTTATCATGCCTCAACCACCGTATTCACCGGACTTGGCCCCCGCTGACTTTTTCCTCTTCCCAAAACTGAAGACACCGATCAAAGGAAAGCGTTTTGCTACGATTGAGGAGATAAAAGAAAAATCGAAACAGGAGCTGTTGGCGATACCAAAAAGCGCGTTTCAGAAGTGTTTCGAGGATTGGAAAAACGCTGGCATAAGTGTATTATATCTGAGGGGGATTACTTTGAAGGGGACAAGATAGTTATTGATGAATAAATAAATACTTTTTGAAAAAAATTGAAAATAATGGTTATTGTTTGATCAGACCTCGTATATGTTTAATGATCTCTAGTGGCATTATTTTTCCCCAAGCACCAGATCTTTCAGGGTGCTCTCCAAGTGCCAGCCATCGAGGAAAAATGTAAGTAGCAGCCCAACAAATTGAACAACAGTCCACTACATACCATTTTAGGCTTGCTATTACAGCAAAACTTATCATTGTTTAACTAATGATTGTGGTACAAATAATGTGAAGGCAAAAAAACAACTGGGATCGTCAGTAGTGGAGCCTTACATAATGATTGGAGGACAGAAATTTTTTAATATATATGTAACAGTAGTATATTGTAGGCTGTGCGGTGCAAATGTGCAGTGCAACACCTGCATCCGGCACATGGTGACGTCACCGGCACATTTGGTGGCCACCTGTTTCCGGCCACCTGCATCCAGCACATCTGGCTGCCACCTACATCCGGTACATCTGGTGGCCTATCTGGACAAGTGGGGGCAACTACATATAAGTATCAACAGCTCATTTCAATAATAAGTATAAACGGTGCTTAGTAATACTCGGTTTACCCAGGCGAAACATTAAATAGCTCTTTACGAAAATATAACAAAAATCATAAAGTTGAAGCAGCAATAATAGGCAATATGAGCTACCCAATAATAGGCAATATGAGCTATCGGTGAGTCACTCCAGAAATAGTGATTCAAAAGACACAGAATGAATAGAAGTTAATAGACAGAACATCTTCCCTTCAAGATCTTTCAGCAAACGCGTTATATTGGAGTGTAAAGACAAATGCAGAAATGATTGGAATAAGTGATAAAAAATTTGTGATACCCCAGTTTATAAAGGACCACTTAAATGCGCATGTTATGGTGCAATTAAAGAGACAAATTAATAAAAATGAATGAATTAGACTAAAAGTTCTAAATAAATATATTATCTGTCACTGAAATTAATTCGTGTTAGTGAAACAGAAATTATGAATTGTACAATATATTTCGCGCCGCGGAACACATCTCTGCCTAACATAACAGGAAATATAATCTCGTTCCCTGTGTGTATTTTCGTCGCAACAGCTGTGGGAACATGGAAACGCAAAGAGAATTTTTCTATTTTTTAATACATTAATATGAACTTAGGGCTATTTTTAAATTTTCATGAGAAATTGTTTTAGCGCCAAAAAGAGGCTGTTAATAAATTGTTTAAAATATACATATTGGTAGAGACTTTTATTTGAATGATTAAAGCGTTGATTAATTTTTAAAAAATGTACATACCTTACTATTGGCATACAGAGAAAGATTTTTTTATTTTAATAATGCCATTGGTTTATTGAAATTTATCATTGGGCTGAGAAGCACTTGTGATTGGGGGGTATCGTTTAAATATAACTAATGTGGATTATTTTAGTTAGTTTATTAGAATCGCGATGAGCCAAGTAAAAATTATAAGTTATTTCCGTATCATAGGCGGGGGTCAGTTCCAAACCGTGCTACCTGAAGAGAATCCGGATCTTGACAATTCGGTAATTTATATTTCGGGGAATTATCAACAGATTGGATCACGTCAAATTAAAAAATTTCGAGGTGCTGTAACTTTAACTCCCCTACTGGATGACCGGTTCGAAAACATTTCGACTGATGAAATCTTCGGTGATTTATCGATGATTGAGACGCCCACGACTTCCATGCTATCAACTTTTGAAACCAGAGCCGAAGACCTAGAACCATCCACTTCCGAGCTACCACCTTCTGGAACCACAGCCGAAGACCTAGGACCATCCACTTCCATGCTATCAACTTTTGAAACCAGAGCCGAAGACCTAGAACCATCTACTTCCGAGCTACCACCTTCTGGAACCACAGCCGAAGACCTAGGACCATCCACTTCCAAGCTAACACCTTCTGGAACCAAAGCCGAAGACCTAGAACCATCCGCTTCCGAGCTACCACGTTCTGAAACCAGAGTCGAAGACCTAGAACCATCCACTTCCGAGATACCACCTTCTAGAACCAGAGCCGAAGACCTAGGACCATCTACAGAGCTTGTCTCACCCCCTGAAAATGAAGGCAGAGTCATCAGATCTGCAAGCGATCTATTTTTATCTGATGAAGATACCGAAATTTGCAACTACCAGAGACAATTAGGTGCATTTCTTGAAATAAACAATCAGTTTTGGGATCAAACTTTAAAACTACAAAACAATTTAAAGAAAAAATTGTTTAAATACGAAACGAAAGTTTCACGCATCAAAAAGCGTACAAACAAACTCATTAAATATGGTGAGATGGCAATAAATTTAAAAACTTTGTACAAAGATATAAATAAATAATTTTTAAATGTAACTATTGTTTCAATTGATTTTTATTTTTCAGGTACTAAACTAAAAATCCTCACCTATTAGACGAGACGGTTTAATTTAGTTTTCAGTGTTTAATTAGCACTAACCCTTCTCTTTTCTTTAGAAGTTTGGAATCATGGGTGGCTTTGACATGTATTGGTTTGGGCAGTTTAACAAAAAAATTTCTCTCTACGTTCGAAATTTTTTTTCTCGGGTGATAGGAGGGTGTTACGTGAAATTAATTTTAAATTACTTTCAAATTTATTTTTAACAACAACTTCTCCATAACCCCTCGTAACACAACATCGGTCGTATCATTGTTACCATTATCGATTTTTACAATGCATCATCTACGCATGATCTGCTAATATCGGCGCATAGACCGTAGCGATTCTTTCAGTCAGGAGTTCATATAAAACCTAAAAGGTGAATTGGTTTTTTTTTCTGGTGTTTAAAGTCAAACAGTGCTAGCGTGCCGATAAATTTAGTAAAATGAATTGCTATGGCTCCTCTCAGTATCCAGAAAGTGACTCATCCCAGTATTTAAGAAAAAGTACTCCTCTCAGTATCCAGAAAGTGACTCCTCCCAGTATTTAAGAAGAAGTACTCCTCTCAGTATCCAGAAAGTGACTCCTCCCAGTATTTAAGAAGAAGTACTCCTCCCAGTATCCCAGTATTTAAGAAGAAGTACTCCTCTCAGTATCCAAGAAGTACTCCTCCCAGTATTTAAGAAGAAGTACTCCTCCCAGTATCCAAGAAGCTTACAACTACTCTACTCTACCTCAAGTACTATCTTTAAGAAGAAGCTCCTCCAGGAAGCTCCTAGTTGCCGCTAGCTATGATAAAAGGGAAGTACCGTATCTACGTACAAAAATACCACCATCATTGAGTAAATTCAGTCAAATTAAACAATCATTAACGCATTTAACTATTTGACTATCTAACTATTTGTCTATTTAACTTATGTAAGATTAATCTCATTTTTTTTTTATTAAATGTATTAAATGTTCTCATTTACTTTTATTTGCCACAACCCTTACAGATAACCTTAAGTACCAGAGACAGGACTCAATTAAACGGGACATTTAAAATTAGATAAGTTTTCCAAGTAACTAAAAACTTGGTGGCTCTCAACTCTTTTTGTTGTTGTCTCATTTTTAATATCTTATTTCTCATTTTATCTTAAAGTAGATCCTGGCCCGCGAACAGGTCAAGCTACTCTAATTTTACTTGTCCTGGTCAATTTTTTTGAATCCACACACATCAGCAATTTGAGCTAAATCACTTATCAAAAAGTTTAAAAATCAACAACTTAGAAATCTAGAAAAAAGGTAACACATTGGCAGCCCAACGTGGAATAGCCTAGAAAAGTTGGCATCAACTTTTTCTACAACTATTAGGGGGAATTGATAAATTGAGTCTCTGTTGCTGGAAATTGTCTGTTAAGGGTAGGCAAATAGTTTGGTTATAAATATCTTACGAGCCATTTGGTATTCGAAGTACCTAGTTTTTTTTTATCTATATTATCTTTTTTTTTTTCGATTAATTGTGGTATTTTATTTTTATTATCTTTATTTAGCGATTTATTCATTGAAGTGTATGAACTGACCGCTTCCTAAGTTTTCGTATGTACCTTGTATTTTTCGATATATTATCTTTTACCTATTATCTTTTTTATCGGAAATAAAAATTGTGTATTAATTTTGTTTGGAAGCTTTCGGTATACATATACCTCAATAAAATAAAAAAAAACTAGTGTTTCACGTTATCTTCTATCGTTTATCGCTATCGTTGCCTGTCCGTTGAACTTTTTTTTGAGTTTTGAGTTTTAATTTTATGCTCTATTGACATTGAACATATAAAAGAGAAAAAAAACATTTAATTATCTGCGAACATCTTTTGCACTTCTTATCGGCTGTAATAATTTATTGGAATACATTTAGAACATCGTTTTTTTTAATTACTGTGGGATTTTATATAGTTGTGTATTTTGAATTAATCCTGCTTTGGAAATCAATTTAATTATTCAACTTTATTAGTTAAAAACTTTTTAAGATTTTGATTTTTAAACTTTTTCGCTATGGCATTTCAATTTAGATTTAATGTAGACTATTTATTGACTCATGAGTTAGAACATGAAATTGCTTATCGCGGTATAGAGGTTCCTGTTAATGCTGTTGATAGACGTAAACTTTTGCGTGGATTACTAAGTCAGGAACAAACCGGACGCAGTTCAGTGACGTATTGTGATACTTTAACTTTTGCCGTTGAACGTACTGGTATAGAAGATTCACTTAGGGACATAACTGTAAAAGTTCACGATTTTTCCGGAACTATTAAAGATGTCGAATATCAAAGGTTAATGTGCAGGTTGACTCATATAACTAATAGAATTCCACGTTTAAATGCACAAGATGATGATCAGGAAAAATTAAAAAAGGATTTTTTGAATGAAGTACTTTCTTTAGAGGGGGACTTAGACTTAAAAGTAAATAGACCACTTGAACATTCAACCCCAACGAATCAGAATCATTCAGTGCAACATTTTTCTTTTCCTAGATCAATACCGATTTATAAATGGGGAATTACCTTTTCGGGATCTGAACATGAGTCAGTAATTAGTTTTTTGGAACGTATCGAATGTTTGAGAATTTCTCGTGGAGCCACTGACATGGAAATTTTCTCTAGTGCAGTTGAATTGTTTACTGATAAAGCTTTTGTTTGGTATTTGAATCATAAAAATAACTTCCAAAGTTGGCAAGATCTTGTAGCCAAATTAAAGTCTGATTTTCTTCCGCATAACTATCAAGACAATTTACTAGAGGAAATTAAATCTCGGAAACAAGGCCAAAGCGAAAAAGTAACTGTCTTTATAAACTCAATGCAAGGTTTATTTAATCGTTTAGAATGCCCACCTAACGAGTATGTTAGGGTGAGGATAATTCGTAGAAACTTACTTCCTAAATATGTACAGCCCTTAGTTTTATTAGATATCGATACCGTTGATGCCTTAACTGAGAAATGCAAAAGACTCGAAGAATCTTTTACGTGGACGCAAAGTTCAAACTCATTTTCCTCTTTTCATACGAAAAAAAGTAGCTATTATCTGGAATCTGACTTAAGCACTCCTAGTACCTCTGGTTTTTCTGCTAAAAATAAAAGTCTATCCATGCTTTCGAATTCCTCAAATATCACTTGTTGGAATTGTCATAAACAAGGACACTCATATAGTAACTGTAGTATACCTAGGAATTTTTTCTGTTTTGGATGTGGAAAGCCTGGTATTTCAAAACCAAGTTGTTTTAGATGTCAAAAAAACGCGACAAGCGGTGGCGCAGCTTCCCTGTCCGCCACAGCCGCTGTAGAACAATCAGGGACTCCCACACAAGTTCAAAACAGAAAGAAAGCCAAAGGCAAGTCGATCCAAAAGGATCCTCAATAAACAGAGATGTTTATTTTGAAGATAACCATTTAGTCTCTAATATCTCTAATATCTCTAATATCTCATCTTTACAATTGCCTCGGTTATCTTCATCTAACTTTAATAAAAAAGATTGGAATGCATGGCTGGATTTTGTCAAAGATTTTTATCAGAAAAAAACCAATACTTTCGACTTCTAATCAAGTATCTAAAAATAATAAACATATACCACTTAACGTTAAAAATTCTGTAGATTCTTTACTATATAAAAGGGGTCAGGATAATAGGCCATATCTCGACATTTCGATTTTTGATAGGACATTTTCTGCTCTTCTAGACACAGGGTCAAATATATCTCTTGTTAGTTCCTTTGTACTTGACTTCGTGAAGCATTTGTCTGTTCCCTTTGAAAATGCTGATGATCTCAGAATAACTACTGCGGATGTTTTAGGTTACCTTGATACTTACATCACAGTAGACAGAATATCTCGCCTTATGAAAATATATCTTATACCTTCTGTTAAGCATCCTATTATACTTGGGATGGATTTTTTGAAGACTTTTAATATAAAAATTGATTTTTCTAAATTTACCTTGAATATTAACTCCTTATCTTTATCGGTTGTTAATACTATTCAAGATACCTCACGTTTATCTGTTAGCCAAACAAGAGATCTTGATACCGTAATTTCTAAATTCAAAACCATTTGTCCTTCAGACAAGTTGTGACGTGCTCATTTATTAGAACACGTTATCGATACCGGAGATGCTCCTCCTTTTAAGCAGAGACAATATCCGTTGCCTCAAGCATTACAAAACCACTTAGAAAAGGAAGTGGACAACATGCTCAAATTAGGTATCATACAAGAAAGTAAATCCTCTTATTGTAGTCCTATCTGGCTTGTTCAAAAATCTGATGATACTTATAGGGTCTGCTTCGACGGTAGAAAATTGAACAATATTACTCAGAACAAGGATGCATATGCTCTACCTCATATTGAAGTGATTTTAAGCCAACTTAGGGATGCGAGATTTATATCTAGCATAGATTTGAGGCATGCCTTTCATCAAATTCCTTTAGAGGAAAAGTTTCGCCCCAAAACTGCTTTTTCAGTGAGAGGGAAAGGCTTATTCGAGTATGTTACCACCCCCTTCGGTTTAGTGTCTGCCCCTGCTACTATGTGTAGACTTATGGATATAGTTATAGGCCCTTCCCTGGAGCCATTTTGTTTCTATTATCTAGACGACATCATTATCTGTACCCCAAGTTTTGAAAAACATTTAGAAATTCTTGAGAAAATTTTTGTGAAATTAAGTGATGCTAATTTAACTGTAAATATCGATAAATGTAACTTTTGCCGGCCTTCACTTAAGTTTCTTGGGTATATAGTGGATGAAAACGGTCTACGTACCGATCCAGATAAGGTTTCAGCCATTATAGACTACCCCATACCAACGACTAGTACTCAAATCCCTAGATTTTTTGGTATGGTTTCTTACTATCGACGGTTTCTTCGAAATTTCTCGACATTATCTTCCTCGATCTCCGACCTTTTACAAGATAGGAAGA